TAAATTGCTTTCCTGCGAGGGGCAAGGTAAAGGACGTGTAATCCCCTTGTTGGCTCCAACCATTTTTGGATGCAGCGTGTATGAGCGTGTGTCTGAAGTGACCCAGTAATATAAATGTAAGAATCCCATCATGTACAGAGTGCTTCTCAATCTCTTTTTGCTTCATCTGCAAGACTACAGCTGCAGAGTATCTGATGCTGAAATGGGCAATGGTCCATAATTCAACAAAAGATTGATTTTATAAATGATTTCATTTCACCACGGAGGATCAGTCATGCATAGGTGAAACAAGCGTATCATCGTATTTTGGGCTAAGGCTATTATGGAGCCTCTCTGGACCTTTAGCACAATGAAATGAACAGCCACACGCAGAGAGAGGGGCATTAAAATTGAACGTATATGTGAACTAATGAAAAAAAAAAAGCTGCTGGGGGAAAAACCCAGACTTGAATACAGAGAGAAAGAAAGATGACCAAAAATCCAGTGTGAATCTGTAGAGAGGGCAGTGGGCTGAGGCAAGAAGAAGCCTCGGACAGAGAAATGAGAGTATTATAGGGGAGAGTGAGAGGAGGGGGGGAAATAGGCACACAACTTCAAAATCTGAGAGGTGGAAGGAAATAGGAAGAGTTGAGAAGCATAAAAAATTAAAAGTCAGATGGGAACCTGTCAGTCTGTCAGTCACTTCAGAGGTTTGGCTTTTACTCTTCACACACACAGTGGAGCAAAAACTTTCCTCTTCTGTAACCTTACATGTCCTCTGAATTTGGCTTTTTCTCATTCAGGCAAACCTCACTGTAACTCAAAGGAAATCAGGTTTGGTTTTATACGATACAGACGTCCGTACATCAAAACTTAACACAAAAGTTTAGATTGATTTTCTGCCCTTGCTAGTTTGCATGCATGCCTGTGCAATATGGAGATGTACTTGGCAGGACTTGAAACGTTGCCTGTAACAGGTAATCAATCACAGAGAATTTGCTGTATCTGTCTTTAATTTTGACCACGGTTTTTTTAATATGTGCTGAAGCTGCACAGGACTGTTCAGAAAACCTTTGGTGCATTCAGGTTCATCTGGAGACTGCAGATATTGGTTGAGCAAGAAATTTAATGTAGGTTTTTTTGTCCCATTTGGTTCTTTAGCCATCAGGAAAAGCATGCAAGATCAACAGCGCACAATGTGCTTTGAGGTAGCAGCCAAGAAAGGTGTAGTTTGTGTTTATGTACACCTGTGTGGACGGGCGCACTTGTATTCAAAAGGTTTCTCCATGTAAGCATCTGCTGGTGGGTGTGGGGAGCCATAGCCCCGTCTCCCAAGGCATGAAGCAGGTCTGCAGGAGATCCAGGCCCCAGACATCCAGAGGCCCCAGAGTGCGAGAGCCCAAGGAGAACCAACAGAGGGGCAACCATGCCACCCTCCTGGGAGGAGCTGAGGAGAGCCCCAGACGAGGGCTCACCCAGCAGCCACAGAGCAGAAGCCAGAGGGGGCTGGAGTAATGTGCCAGCTGTGTCAGAGTGCACAAAGCCAAAGGCATCAGCCACCGGCAGGGAGTGTGGTGGGAATTTAATGGAGTTTTCATCAGCTGGTTCTCAAGTTTTTGAAGCTGGAGCTTCCATCGGATAACTGTGTCTGCATGTCAACATAAAAAGACAAAAATACACTCGGCTACTGTCATGTTCAGGAAACATGGTGAGACATGGTGACATATCCTGCTAGAAGCAGCCACCAGAAGATGAACACTGTGTGTATCTTCACATAAAGCTGTAGTGTTTAAATGATGCTCGGCTGGTAGTTTACCAAACTGTGCCTGCCATCTGATTCCATAAATCAAGACACATCAGACCAGGCAGTGTTTTCCAGTCTAGTTGTAACAGCAGTGGCACCTGGTGTGGTCTTCTGCTGCTGTTGTTTTGGATTCAGGGGTGCTCTTCTGCAGAGCTTGGTTGTAATGAATGACTATTTGAGTTACTGTAGCCTCCTTATCAGCTCAAAGAGGTCTGGCCATTCTCCTCTGACCTCTGACACGAGCAAGGCATCGTTGCTCAGAGAACTGCTGCTCACCAGATTTTGTCTCTTTTTTTGGACCTCTGAAAAGTTATCCATGAACTTTTAACCCAGCTGAGAAAATCTCAGTTTTTATTCTTAATTTGAAAAGATTAAAAAAAAAGATGAGACAGTGCGAGCGAATTGGGTAAAAGAAATTCAGTAAATGTGAAGTATTTAAGGCAAATCAAATCTACATTAAATATCCCTTATTTTATAAAATCTGGATGGAAGGTATCCGTCATAGAAAATCATGTGTGTGCGCGTGCGCAGGATGTTTTGATTAAATATAAAAAGTTTATAGTGATCCTGGTGGGGAATATGTGCAGATGATAAAGAGGAGGATGCAGAGAAAGTTATTAAAAGATATGAATGCAGTTACCTGAGGAAATCTGTATCAACAGGCACGAGGGAGCCAGAGATTTATCTCACACTGCTTTCCAACAACTTTTGCAATAACACAGCTTCTGGCATCTCCCATTAATTCACTCAGATTTTTATCAGCAGTTTTCAGTGACACTGATTAAATTAATTACACTTTCCTCAGCGTGATATTCACTTGTCTTGATCAGTTTTGTCTCACTTCTCGTGCCTCATTAATCCCCAGCCGTAGTTTATTTCTCAACTTTAACTTTTTTAGATCTACTCTTTCACTTTTAACCTTTGACCTTTCACAAAGGGACATCCAGTAAATAATAAATGAAGCTGTTAAGCATGTGTAAAGTGCTATCGTATTAGAACTTACTCGACTTCCTCCCTGTGTTTTGTCCATTTGTCGCTTGTGTTCCTCACACTGTGTTCTGCTACATCCCTGCCTCGATTCTTTTGTAAGCCTCCCAACTTTCTAGTGTTTTTGCTTTTTTCTGTCAGGCTTTGTTGGGACCGTGTATCAGCTTAGTATCAAAAATTGCTTTTTATCGTTCTCCTTTGTCCTGTGTGTAGGTCCTTTACCTGAGCCTTGTAGCAGGTGTTTTGGTGCTGTTCCCTTTGTGTGTGTGAGAGAGAGAGAGACTTGGGTTTCTGATCTTTCGGTGTCTAAAAAACAATAAGGCTGGGTTTACTAAAACATTGTGGTGTGGAGTAAAAGATGATTCTCAGTGTTTGTGATAAGCTTCACCGTAGTTTTGTTCCATATCATCGTGACTCCTTTGGTCTGGGCTGTCTGCGTCCTATAATTGGGTGTAGTGGACTAATCTATATTTCCAAGGTTCAGAGTGCTTTAAAATGAGATCCAGCTAGGTGCTTACATTTGACAAGCTGAGGATGGGCAACAGAAAAGGCAGAAAGTGAGATCTAGTCCTCGGAAAAATGAGATCCTGCACAGCTTTACTTAAAAAAGTCAAAAGGCTTTAGAGAGTATTCCTGATCCTGGTGCATTACGCTCCGAGTTCCTGTAAGAACTCCTAATATACAGATATTCTGCTGGGGTTCCTCATCCTTTCTGTTAACCACTTTCTCAGCTGTCACTGAGTGGGAAGTGGGGTGAACCCAGGATAAGTTGCCACTCTGTTAGAGACAGACCATTCACTTCAGCAAGTCTCACATGCATGTTTTAGACTGATGGAGGAAGTACCTGGAGAAAACCCAAGGAGAACATGTAACCACCACACTGAAAGGCCCAGAACCTTCATACTGTGGAGCAGCAGTCAGAACCACTGCACCACTCTGCCGTTTTTTCCTTATAAAAGAAATTTCTTTGGATTTCATGAGGTGAGAGAAACCGGTGAGCTAACAGATTCACTATCTTATAAACCAGCGTCGGCTTCCACCCATATCAGAATGCGTTGATCCAGTATGAGTGTAAAGATGGCACCCAGAGGGAAATCCACAGTCTTTGCAGGAAGGATTCATGGACTTTGGAGGTACTTCCACAGGTTTCAGGATTCTTTGCAACTTGAGGGAAAGTTGGACAAAACCTGAACTACACTGAGGTTACAATGTTTCCCAGATCATGATGAGGATGATGAACAGAAAAGCTTTCATATAAAGATTGCAGATTCTCATGAATGATATGTGAAGGTGACTCAGAAGAAACTAGAAGAAACCTAAAAGTGTAGTTTTCACATTCCTTCTGCATTTTTTTTTTTGTAGGTTTGTTTTTATCTGGTTTCTGTCAGTTTTATTTTGTAGCACTTGCTGCATCTGGCTTCATTCTGTGTGCCGCTGGGAAATCACAGGTAATCATACCAGTTAGTGCTGAGATGGGTTTTTTGCTGCTTCTGTTTGGGCACACACGAAGGGACACACACAGAGATAAAGGTGCAGGTGTATGCAAAGGCGCACAATCATCTCCCGCATTTCATCTCAAAGGTACTTTTAGCCCGTACGTACGTGCGTGCATACACGTGTGTCTCCCTCAGTCACACGCATGAACTCTTACACGGTCTTCCCACACAGCTCGCCCCGTTAGCCTCCCACTCTGTGTTTGTCGGCACTGCTGTGAGGCTTGTTAGTGCTTTTTTTTAACAGCAGCTAATAGAGCACCACTGATAATGCCAACTATGCAGACCACACAGACACACACAGTCGCACATGCAAACAAGCTTTATTAGATCCTGTAGATACTTGTTGAACGACCCTGATTATCTCACTTATTTTCTTTGTTGTTTTTACAACCTTGAATATTTTGTTAATGCACGAACTGCGTTATGGAAATAAAACTGTTATTGTAAATGATCAGTGTTTCTGAATTATTTATACTGTTTACTACAAATCGCATGCAGTATATCGCAGAACTTTTGCAAACTGTGCTTGCAGGATTTGCATAATTCAGATTGTTTCTTCTACATTTGGCATGATTCAGGTTCTCCGCTACAATCACATTTATCCATTTCGACCTAGTCCCACCTACCGTGCTGTACTGTATGTGTTTCTGTTCAGGAAAGGGGCAAAAAATCAGACCTCGTGGCGCTTTAGGACTGAAAGCAAAGAATCTATTTTCTGTTTTCTTATTTTTCAGACTGTCACGAGTCGTGCTCGGAGTGCCGTGGGCCGAGTCAGCAGGAGTGCGTGTCGTGCTCAGACCCGGTCGCCTTGCTGAAAGACGGGGCGTGCGTCCTTGACTGTGGCACAGGTTTCTACAGTCGAGAAGGCGTCTGCCACGGTAAAGCTGACACATATCCACACTGCAGCACTGAAGACATTTAGCTGAGTTTCAGTTTTGGCTGGTTTAGTGGAAATAGCACTTTTGCTGACGTCTTTACTAAAAGTAGTGCAACTCCACAGATGCCAAGCTAATATAAGATCCAACACAAAACATTAGGTGTGTATATATATATATATGCACAGATGGTTTGAGTACATCACCATCCAGAAAGCCCAAATATATCTTCTTTAAGGAATCAGTTTACCTCTAGCTTGTGGTGATTTGTGCACATTTAGTTTCGTTGGCCAGTTTTGAAGTTATCAGCTGTAGATGTGTCCACTTTCCCTCGAATGTCATGACAGTAAATGGCCACAAAATTGTTATTATATTAAGAGTTTTTATTATTATTATATATTAACTTATCCGGCCAACTGCTACCAAACATTCTAGATGGATAAACAGCACTATGAGCCGTCTCAGGAAGCTACAATCTCTGATTTGCCTCCCTCTGTTAATTAAACCCAACCAAAATGTTTTAGTTTGAATCAATGTGTTTAAAATACAATGATTTTATCCTCTACAGGTCGAGCGTATGGAAGCACAGAACTGCCAGCCAGGCAAAAGAAAATGAGGGTTATATCATATAAATATCTGATATATATACACACATATCTATAACGTGAAAACTTTACTGTTCTAACAATATACTTTTCATCTTTGAACAACATAATATCACTTTATTACAATATACATAACTATCACGTTATAACAAAAAACCTTTAATGTTCTTACAATATAAATATTATTTTGTACGAACGAGATAATTATATTGTTTGAAAAATAGTTTTCACGTTAAAACATATCTTTTATTTTTCGAACATGATATATGTCTTTGCCTTAAAACATAGTTTGAGAAAATGGCTCGTTTATCGGAATTAGTTAAGTGTATTTTACGCTTGGATTGAGGCATAACGTGTGATAATGTGATAGTTATGTATATTGTAATAACACGACATTATATTTTTCATATTATCATTTTTATATGAAAAAGTTAACAATAAAGTTTTCACATTATAACATGAAATAGCTGTTTTTGTTTTGCCTGGTTGGCAGCTCTACGCTTCCGTACTAAAGTGAATAGACTCAGTGTTGTTTTTCTTTTTGTACTAAATAATGCCAGTTTCATTTTAGCCTTCAGATTTTGTGACAGTCTGTGATTTTCCCTTTTCAAAGATTTTCTTTGAACAGCTTCAAGGAAATGAAGCAAAAACCTTTTGGGAGAACTAAAATGAAGTGAAGACATGAAAACAAGATATAAACTTTTTGTATTTCTTTATAATAATGACTCAGACACCGTGGTTCTTCTGTAGAGGCGTTTTAATCCATTTTCTGTTCTCTTTAATGCAGCAGTTAGACTCTTTGTACATAAAGCACTTCAAATTGCAGGTAACACTTATGCTTTTAAATGTAATTTCTCCTCTGGGGGAAAAATAATATCATTTTTATCATTTTAGTCCTAAAACCACAAAGCGTCTGTAAGAATGGATTCTGGGGAACCCAGGTGCCCGAGGGTTTGAATCCAAACTGGCACCTCCCAGTTTGAAGCAACTCCCAGTTTGGAGTTGCCAGATACATTTAAATAACTTGCAGTTTGTTTGTTTTTTCAATTTAATAATAAAAATGTACAGAAAAGTTTAAAGGGGAAAAGAAACCATACATTTCTGTGTGAGGTGTTTGCTGTGCGACTTCACTGAAAGCTGACATTCCCACAGGCGGATCAGGTGTCACACGAAGTGCCGTTGCCCAATGCAGTAAACAGTAAACACTATCTGAGACGATGGAAAGTTTATTGTTAGCAGTGAATTGAAGGTGAAGATTTATTTGGGTGTCTTTCCCCCCGCGGAGCTTCCTGCAGCATTCACTCGGCATGATGCCAAAATGATAAGGCAGCAGTAGCAAACAAACAATTAAAAAAAAAATACAATAATTAGCGATTCTCTCTCGCACTAATGAGGAGTCTGAGGCTTCTGAAATAAATAGATCCCATATGAATATGGATGCTTTCTATTTCTGAGTGGTAAGATGAGGAAGAGTAAGAATAGTCCCCCCTCAGGGCGACGGTGAACTTAGCCAAGCTCTTTTGGTTAAAAAGACCCAGAGGGGCCGGGATGGTGGGGTGGGCTTTTCTTCTGCTGTTGCTCACAGGACAGTTTTGAAGCGCTCAGTGAGGAGCCCTCTTTCAGAAAATGTCAAAAAACCAATGGAACTTTCTAGAAAAAGGTCGAATCCATTTGAACTTGCCAGCCAGCACTTTGAGGCCTGGTTTAAAATGTCACCATCCTGAGAGAGCTGAAGGGCTTTTCCTCCGCGGGGCTTCCTGGGACTTTAGAAGTGAAAGATTTTCTTTTTTTCATCTCTCAAGTATGCTGCAGCAAAACCACCTGCTGAGGGAACGGTTTAGTGCGTGTGTGCATGTTATGCTAAGATACCTCAGGTACCTGAGAGTGAAGATTTGATCTATTGTTGGATTTTTTTTAGATTATTTGTTGCCTTTTACCTATTTTGTTCATCTTTTCAGACATCTGCTTTCCAGTTTCTGTCATTAAAAGTTGGACTCGTTGTTGTCTTGCCTAAGTGACTTTTGATTGTATTTGAAGGACTGTTTGTTTAGGAGACTTTCCTCTTGCTTGTAGATAATTCAGCCATTTTTAAATTGACCTCAGTGCATTTTGTCATGCCAACAAAAAGCCATTAACATTTACACGCTGCGCTTCACAGCCTGTGATTCGTCCTGTGCCTCCTGTTTTCCCGACAACCCCAAATGTATGAGCTGCCCACCGGGGACTGCCTTGCATCATGGGAAATGTCTCAGCCAGTGTCCAGCTCAGCATTACCTGGACAGCCAAAGCAGATGCAGAGGTAAGTGTTTGCTCTGAAGTGGAGATGTTTGGACATCATGCACAGCATGTTTGTCAAATAATAGCATATACATACAAACACCTCATACCTACAATTAAGAGCTTGTTGTGCAGCTATGTTACCTGGCACCTTGCAATTTCTGAGTCCACCGTGAACTCCTCTGTTTACAAAAGTATTCAAGGTCAAACGTGAGACCATCTGTCCAACGGGTAAAACCCAAACCGAGACTTCAGCCCTATTAAAAGCTTCTCATTACTTTAATTAGAGAAGAAAACTTCTAAAATAAATCCTGTAACCTACACAGTTTGTGCCATTTTATTTAAGGGTCAAACCCTTAAATTCATACATAAATTTTACCAAATAGTTAAAGCGTCAGGTTCTACTGAGCTTACTAAGTTTTACTTCCTGTTTCATGGGTAGTTCTGTGTATCAGACTAAAGATCTTAAATGCTTATTTTCTTTGTGTCCCCAGCCTGCCACAGCTCCTGTGCCTCCTGCTGGGGTCCCTCGGTATCCCAGTGCACCTTGTGTCCAGGCGGACTACTTCTCCACCAGGGCCAGTGTGTGGAGGCCTGTGGGGAGGGGCTGTATGCTCAGGACTACACCTGCCACAGTGAGAGTCTAAACACATTAATAAAGTATCCTGTTAAAAAACTTTTCTTCCTTGTCCCCAGAGTGTAACTGCCTCTCTGTGATGTTGTCTGTCCTCGCGCCCAGACTGTCATCCCTCCTGCCGTTCTTGTGTGGGACCCCTGGCCTCAGACTGCCTCCGCTGCCTCAAACCGGAGGAAGCTCTTCTTCCGCAATCGAGTCACCTTCAGCACAGCGTCTGCACAGCTGGGTGTCCCACGCGCAGCTTCCTGGATGACATGCAGACATGCAGAGGTGAGTGTATTAAATGTTTTATTTTGCTTCCTGTATAATTCAGGAGAGGCGGTACCTGCGAGGCCAGAAAGGATATTTCTGCTGCTGTGGGTCATGGTCGCTAATTAACACGCCAGCCATCGCTCACTTTGACTTTTAAAACAGATCAAATAGTCCTAATAGCACTAACTACGTTTAAGCCTGGTGAAAGCCAAAAAAAACAAATTGTAAAATCCACGAATCAAAGCCAAAGCTTAACTCTTGTTAACAACAAATCGTGCCCTCATTTGCATTAGTAGTAATGAAATACTTACTCTGAATCGACAGAATATTAATGTGCAGCTATTCAGATTTTCTAACTGAACAATTTGTTATATAACACAGGATTTGACATCTTTTTAACAAATGTCACAGTTAGGGTGACAAGTAAACTGGATATTAAACATAAAATTATAAAAGAAACAATTAGTTGCTTCATAAATAAGTAATGAGCAGAGTAATTAATCATGAAAATGTTAATTAGTTGAATCCTAAATATTGAATGAATTGTAGTTTTTGCTCTAACTTATTAAACAACCTGAAAGCTGGATTTATGCTCTGTTTATTCTGTGTACTGAACTGCTGGTTAGCGCTGGAAACATCCTGGCTTCATACATTTCTGATATCAGAACTGAGGAGTCTGCGTTTGAAATTCATGATCTGGCATTTGCACCTACTGTGTGAAGGGTAGGCCCTCCATGATGCAAGGCTTTTCCCTCCTTTACTCTAAAGGTCCCGTTGGTAGACTGTAGGTGCTGTTTGCAGCAATTTGCAGACCCACATCTACAAGTTGTAGCTGCCACTCTCAGAAATATACGGCAGTTGCTTAATTCTGTTTGTGTTCTTGTTGCTGCAGAGAAAACATACGTCATGATATGCAAAGAACTTCTTTGTAGTAAAGTGAAACAGATCCTTAAAAGCAAAGGTTGTTCTCCTTTGTGATTTTAAACCAATCCGCATTTTGAATACATGGATTCTGCCGTGGTGTTGGTGGTTTTCCTACAATCTATGTCTGTGTGGAACCTGAGAACTAAAGATAGGGGCATATAACGAATAGTTATGTCTATAACTTCTGTTCCCTGAAGGAGAGGAACGAGGTACAACACATAAGTATGGGATATCACGCCCTCGCGTGTCCTGGCTGAAGAAACCTTTATTCACGCCTTTACGGCAGATGACGTGTGATGACACGCGCAAGGCCCCGCCCGCACATATAGCCGCTGCCATCACCGTCATCCCTCAGTTCGATAGCCGCTCTTCACCGAGCCAACTGCTCAGTGGGGCCACCCTGTGTTGTACCTCGTTCCTCTCCTTCAGGGAACAGAAGTTATAGACATAACTATTCGTTCCCTTTCAGTCGATTCACTCGGTACAACACATAAGTATGGGACCTATATACACGCCCCGCAGAGCAGCCACCGAACCGGAACGGGACCACCACATCCTCAGTGAGTGGTAGACCCAGCAGAAAGGACAGCATGAGCCACCGAAGGGGCTGTAACGTCCAACCGATAAAACCGCACAAAAGTGTGCGGCGACGCCCAATTAGCCGCTGCACAAATATCAGCCACAGGCACCCCTCTAAAAAGAGCCCATGAGGTCGCCATCCCCCTGGTGGAATGAGCTCCCACCCCGTGGGGCAACGCAAAACCTCCGGTGCTGTATGCCAGCGAGATAGCTTCTACAATCCAGTGGGACAGCCTCTGTCTGGACAGAGCTCTACCTCTATTCGGATTAGCGAAGCAGACAAACAACTGGTCACACAAACGCACATCCCGAGTGCGCTCAATGTAGGTGCGTAGCGCACGCACCGGACAAAGAGAATGCACCCTCCTCTGCTCCTCAGATTCAAAAGGAGGGGAGCAAAAGCTCAGCAACTCAAACTCCATCGAACTATAAGATGCAGGCATGACCTTGGGAAGATAGGCGGCATTCGGACGCAATACGACCTTGCGGCCATCAGGAGAAAACTGTGTGCAGGCAGGATGCACAGACAGCGCATGAAGGTCCCCCACTCGCTTCGCCGAGGCCAAAGCGAGAAGTAATGCGGTCTTATACGAAAGAAGTTTCATATCTACCGACTCAACGGGTTCAAACGGAGGGCCACAAAGGGCCTCCAGCACCAAAGACAAGTCCCAAGCAGGGACACTGGACTTAAGCACGGGCCTCAGCCGGCGAACCCCTTTCAGAAAACGCACGGCGAGGGGATGCGCACCTGGTGTCACCCCGTCAAAACCGATATGACAAGCAGATATAGCCGCTAAACAAACCTTGATCGTCGAAAACGAAAGGCCTTTATCCAACAGCTCCTGCAGGAATGTCAAAACATCCACAATAGAGCACTGAAATGGGAGAGTGTGGCGGTCCTGGCACCATCGCTCGAAGGCTCGCCATTTGTAAGCGTACAAGCCTCTAGTAGACGAGGCCCTGGCGCTCTGAATCATCGCTACCACACTAGGTGGCAGACCCTTAGCAACCAAGTTTAACCTCTCAGCAGGTAAGCATGAAGGTGCCACAGATCCGGGCGCGGATGAAACACTTCCCCCCCTGCCTGAGAGAGGAGATCCCTGCGGAGAGGAAGCTGCCAAGGACTTGCTGCAAGCAGGCTGATTATTTCTGCATACCACGACTTCGCGGGCCACCAAGGGGCCACCAGGATCAGAGAGAGGGAATGCCGACGCACCCTCTCCAGAATTGGAGATATCATTTCCACTGGGGGAAATGCATACAGGAGCACGTCTGGCCATTGGTGCGCTAGCGCGTCCAAGCCCAAGGGTGCATCGTGGTCGATTATGGAGAAGTACAGGGGGCAGTGAGCATTCACCCTGGAAGCAAAAAGATCCATTTGCGCCTCGCCAAATAGATCCCAAATCTGAGCCACTATTGAAGGGTGTAACCTCCATTCTCTCACCAGAGGACCCCCCCTGGAGAGAAGGTCCGGCCCCAGGTTCAGGTGGCCCGGGACATGGGTGGCTCTTAGAGTCAGAAAATGAACACTGCACCATAACAGCAGAGAGCGAGACAGCTGCAACAGGGGAAGAGAGCGTGTTCCTCCCTGCCTGTTTATATAAGACACCACTGTTGAATTGTCCGTCCTGACTAAGACATGCTGGCCCTGCAGGACTGGACGGAAACGCTTTAGAGCTAAGAACACTGCTAACAGCTCTAAGTGGTTGATGTGCAGCTGGCGCTGAGCCGCGGACCAGATCCCTCTCACTGACGCACCCTCGCACAGCGCTCCCCACCCACTTAGGGAAGCATCTGTGGACACCACCTTGCGAAACAACACCCTCCCAATCCGAGAGCCCTGGTGCAGTAGCCCGGGCTCCCTCCAAGGACGGAGAGCTAGCATGCAAGACGCAGTTACCGGCATCCTCCTCCGGAGGTGACGCGAAGCACACAAACGGTGAGAGAGAGTCCAGCGTTGAAACGCTCTCATTTTCAACAGCCCAAGCGGCACTACGGCGATCATAGATGCCATCATGCCCAACAAGCGCAATATCGTCTGGAAACGCAGTCTGCGTCCCAGCTGAAATTGAGCGAGGCAGCGATGAAACGCGGCCACTCCGTGCTCTGACAACCGTGCGCGGCTGGAAAGAGAGCATATTTCCAGACCGAGAAAAGCGATCTGTTGACCTGGGATTAGCGAGCTCTTCTGAAAGTTCACAGAGAACCCCAGTGTCTGAATGTGTGACAGAACCCGCGACAGCTGCGTCTCCGCCTGTTCTCTGGAGCAAGCCACGAGAGCCCAGTCGTCCAGGTAGGCCAAGATGCGGATGCCCCTCTTCCTGAGGGGCGCTAGCGCTGCCTCGGCACATTTCGTAAAGGTGCGGGGAGCGAGCGACAGCCCGAACGGCAGCACTAGGTATTCGTAGGCTACGCCCTCGAATGCAAACCTCAGAAACTGCCTGTGTTTCGGGTGTATAGCGACATGAAAATAAGCATCTGTTAGATCGATTGTCGCAAACCAATCTCCCGGGCCGACTGCACTCAGGAGCTGTCTGAGTGTTAGCATCTTGAACCTGTACGTTCGCAGGTACGTGTTCAAGACTCGCAGGTCGAGGATGGGACGAAGCCCTCCCCCTTTCTTCGGAATGACAAAATAACGGCTGTACCAACCTTTGTCCGTCTCCGAAGCGGGGACCACCCGTATTGCTCTCTTCTGTAATAGCGCCTGTATTTCCTCTCTGAGTACCAAGGCTGCCTCGGGGTTGACAATCGTGTTCACGACTCTTTGGAAACGAGGCGGCTTGACCCGGAACTGCAACCGGTAACCCATGGCAACGGTTTGCAGCACCCACGGAGAGGGGGCGCAAGCGCGCCACTGAGGGAAGTGAGCAGCCAGCCGGCTGGCCTGCAGCACTGACGGCGGGGCGCCGTCGCCCCCCAGTGTGTCTGCAGGGGACTGCATCCCCTGCCTGACCTGGCTCATTTCGCCTGCAGGTTGAGCATTTGAGATTGTTTGAGAGTAAACCACACTCTTTATTGATTGCAACATGGGAACATGTACATTTATACATTTTGTTGGGTGCACCTTTTCCGGGGCATAACAATGAAAAACAGCGGGAACACTCGATGTGGTCGCTTGAACATTCAACACATCTGAACCGTGTGCAGGGGTTATGTGCTTGGGAGACCGCGATAGGGAAGTGCAGCGCCTTCTGGGGCTGACAACCTGAACAGAACTTAAGCGGCACCTCTTGTGCGGCAACAGAGGGGTAAGAGCAGCGTCTCCCTGCTGCCGGATCCCTTCCCCACTCGCAATCACAGCTAGGAGGGCTGAGGCTTCTTCCTCCTGGGCGTCGGGTCCCGTCGGGGGCCCGGGGGAGGGCCTTTGCCCCAGGCCGACTGGCGTGGAGCTCGGGCCGTACGTGCTCTCGCCGGCGGCCCTCCCACTCCAGCAGTGGGCGCCGGTCTCTTGCCAGCTGTCAGAGGAGCGGCGGGCCTGTGAGAGCTAGCAGTGGGCTTGGGCTGGGGCTGGC